TCCCTCCCTTCAAACATTATTGATAAACTCTCTACATCACATCCACAATACCTAATTTACCTTACTACCTGCATTCATTATATTCATTTGAAAGTGCAACAGACATTATTCCAAAATCAAGCTCTTGATGATGTGTCTGTAAAAGCATCCTGGTGGTCATATCTTTCAGGTCTTCATAAAATCCTGTGCACCTTTACCAAACATAACAGGGAACATGGTCTCCATCTCTTCACACTTCTGCCTGAATACTCTTTCCAACAAAAGTACATATTAGTTGATACTGATGCTTTATATTATATGTACAAATCAATTGAAAAAGTAGGAGTAACAACCATTCAAAGATTCAGAACTAAAAAGGAAATTTGGTGGATGGAAGCATTTAATATTAATAAAGTCACCACCCAAAATCGAATCTTTGCTTACTCCATACAAACTGATGGTCTTGCAGTATCAGTTTGTCTGCAGAAGAAAGTTGATGATGATAAAGAGGATGTTGACAAAGAAAGATTAAATATTGATTTAAATGGATGCAAAGTATTTGGACTGGACCCTGGAAGAAAAGATCTGTTTACGGCAGTGAGTTCAGATGAAAAAGTTGTGAGCTGTTCCAACAAGGAGTACTGGAACTTAGCAGGGTTTGTTCGTGCTCATAAAAAACATGAGTTGTGGTTGGAAAAAAATAAATATCTTCATGCTGTTATTCAAGGTGAGCTATACTTTGTTAATTTAATTTGCTGTTAAACAAGAATATCATTGAATAATATTACTTACATACCTTTTGCCTAATACTAATATAAAATCTAGATATTCCAACCTCTGGTGTCACCAATGTCTATGAATATAGCTCTTACCTTGCTTACATTCTGTTTTATCTTGATATAATTCTTAATTTTTATTGTGAACGTCGCTGGCGTCGGTTGCAATGGAAATCTTTTATTAATAAGCAGAAGGCCTTTGATATTCTGTGCAAGAGAATAACAAATAGCAATGGTGACAGTACAGTTGTTGCATTTGGTGATGGTAAATTCTCATCAACATCACGTGGGCATGCACCAGGCCCTGTAAAAGAATTTCGCCAGGAGCTTTCTAGACACTGCAGGGTGGTGAACATTGATGAGTTCTGTACTCCTCAGTCTGTTCTTTGTGTGATGGGTGGTTTGATAAGCATCAAAAATTCTGGTCTGTCAGAGTCTGCAAATCAGTCTGTCTGACACATTGGAATTGAGATGTTAATGCTGCCTGTAACATAAGGAACATTTTTTTGCACACAAACACTTATGGAGAGAGACCTGATCCATTTATAAGGGGGACTTACTGACCTCTCTGCTGCCATTTTAACTGTGGCAGGATATGTCTAGCTGGTGGCAGCAGCAGCAATGATGACTTTCTATGAAGCCACAATTAGCTATAGGGAGGATTTGGATCTTCCTGATTTAGTGTAATAAGGTTTACTTGTTATAAGCAAACTGTTTCTTTCTGACTTTTTTAATTGTGGAATAAGAGAGGCTAGAAAAAATGATCCAGTGCATAAGATAATAATAACCCACAATAATAATATTTTATGTATAAAAACAACTTGAATAACTTGCTTGAAAAGCCAATATAATCAAATTGCTAATAGGATAAGTAATAAAATAAAAATCAATTAATTGTCAATAAACCCTTATATTTGTTTAAAATAAAATGCAGTTTTTATTTTTAAAGTGATTCAAGGAAAAGGCAACTGTAAAGTGCTTTGGTAAAAAGCCATGGTTTATTTGCTTTGCCCAATAGCAGGGCAATACCAAATGCAGCACCTAGTACTGATACTACAATAAGTGTTTTCTGATTTTCTGGTGTTATTTGAGTTGACAAAAGTAGAATTAGACAGACTTGGTTGGTTGATCGGTTTCTGTGGATGTTTTTGTTTAATGGAAGTAAATGGTTCATTCGTTTGAAAGTCTACAAATTTGGGTATTTCAATTTAAAAATTTTTTTTTTTGACATCTATTTATTATCATGTGTGTGTGTGTTTTTATTTGGTAATTTATTTATTTCGTTTTATTTGAATGACTTATAAAATTATTTTTCAACTATAATTAGTTATTTCACGTCAAGTTCTTCACAAGTAAACGTTTTAGTTTTATAAATGGTCATCACAGTAATTATACAGAAGTCATGACACTTTAAAAAGATTGTGCAATTGGTTTGACTCGTAAAAGATTTCTTATTTTTCAGGTAATTATTGATTCAGCAATTAATATAAATATACATACAAGTACATAAAAGTATAGAGAATCTTCTTATTGGACAGAGAAACAATCTGCTATGTATAAATTTATTTAATAGTTTTGTTTGCTATTGATATATTAAAAAATTAAGTAAATGGGAAGACAGTTAATTAGATTTTTCTTTTATTCTAATTGATATATGCAACAAAGATTTGTAATCATCACAAACAAAAAAAACTTTTATTTAAAAAATTTTTTTAGATGCAGCAATTTCAAAGAGCATATTCATATATCTAAATTACAGTATACAAATTCATGTTATCTCTAATAAAACAATGACAATACTCTTCGAGTTGATTTGCATTTAATTCTCTTGCTAATGTTTCTATCTCTCGCACGCTTGATCTGTTAACCAATAGAGAGAGCTTTAATTCCATAAGATTTTTTAAATGATCTATTTTATAATCATTTGCTAATTTGAGTAGATCTTTATACAGTTCCAAATTTGATGGTTGTTTTTTATTTAAACTTTGATGATTCCAAATTGCATCATTGATATTCTGACCATATAAGTAACGCAACCAAATGTGCACTGAATTAGGGCTAACATTGTCGATAGTAATTCTAGCTGGATTAACTGTGCTCAAGTCTTCTGAATTAAATTTCTGATAGAAAACTGTGGAGCTTGCAGCAAGCACATATCGACTTGCCCATATTTTTTCATTTTTTACAACAAAAACAACATCATGAAAACAATTCTCCTGCTTTAATAAAAACCCCAACATGGCTCTGTTAATACTTGTCTGATCATTTTCTCCAATCTGTATTTTGAAACTTGGTAATCTTATTTCTTGGACACCAGCACTTTTTAGCATTTTGTGATATTTAGCAAGACGAGGATTTACATAATTTCTTTCACCTGGTTCAGTATTTAAAATTAAATTTGCTACAGGAGCCCAGTTTTTAGTGTCAAATGGATCTTGATCGTCATTACAATTAAGGAATAATAGTTCATTTGAATTAATGTATTGCCTTAGTCTGAGACTTTCATTTGAACATTTTTTGTCAAGCCATTTGTAGACTTTGAAAACATTAAACAAGAATGTTTCTTTCCAATTTCTCCATTCCTCATCTTTTATAAGCTTTGTATGCAAAAGACGGAGATGTTTGATTACAGTAAGAACATCTGGTTTACCAAATGATGGATATTTTCGAAGTACATTATCAGGTGGTATGACATCTTCTGCGATTAAAGGCTTTTGGCTCCATGCAACTTCTTTATATTCAGGATGAATTACATTATTGAGACAATCCAATACTCGAGTGTGATTATAGTGCTTATTGTAATGTTTATCTAAACATTTAACAATAGGAACAAATGGAATCCTATCAATTCCTTTAAATTCAAATTCATCGATGTTTTTATAAAGATGATCAACCAAAATGAAGCCACGATATCGTATATCAGATGGCGGGTCATCCATTCCCAGTAGCTCTTCAACTTTTTCGGCACATTTTGTGAATGAATCCTGATCAATTTCTTTATTGAATCCAATATTTGCCAACTTTTTTGCATATTTTGAGAGACGTAAATCAAGAAAATTATTTGAGTCTCCTCCAAACACACATCGAAAAACAACATTACTATAATCATATAGGTCAGAAATACGTTTCAAGTCACTTGTAAATGCACAGGGGAAACAATCACGATCCTTTAAATTTTCGACAAGATTCTCACATCCGTATGAGAGCACACTATCCAAAAAATCCACATAGGAGTCATCAGATTCTTCAGGAAATTCAACGTCTTCAAATGTGTATGATTGAATGCCTCGTACAGGAACATCAAGATTACGTAAAATTTTACAATCTAGATTATCAGAGAACTGTAAAAAAATTTTGTCGCTCTTTGTTCTATACATGTTAAAGTTCGTTGGAAAAAGGTACCCAATTGAAACCGGTACCAAACTCTGCTTGAGGTTTGGTGATGCGGGGTTCCTCCGCGTTGGCCAAATTGGCAGCGAGCGGATCATTGATTTAAGTTCATGATCCCACTTTATTCCTACAATAAGTAAATAAATAAATATATTACTTGAAATCTCTAATTTAATTACAAAAAAAAGTTTTTTTTCAAAATAATAACCTAATACTTTTAATTCTTTCCAATTATTTCGCAGTAAATGACGGAAAGCCTCAATACGACTATATGACAAGCACCTGAAAAGATTGTCCACCTGAACATTTTCATTAGTAAAAGTGACTTTATCGTTATGCGAATAATAGTAGACAGGAGTGATTAATCGGGAAATGTTATCGTGTTGTAATATACGTTGGAGTACTTTGCAACCATAACTAATTATATATTTTGGATAGTTTTGTGTAACGGATGGAAATGGCCAAAATTTTGATATGCATCTGTTTTTAAGATCAATTTGGTTACTATTCTGCAATATAAGAATTTCTTCCAAGAGCCTGCAATAAACTTCTGGAAGGAATTCAAGCAAAATATGCCTATTCCATTCAAGTTTCTGATGATCCAAATCTGGTAGATCATTGTCTTTTTCGAGCAATAGTCTTGCACGATCTGAACTTTGAGCCCAGGTTCCATTAAGGTGAACAGGCAAACATGTAGTATCAGGCAACGGAAGAAAAGAAAACATTCTTCCTTCAAAGTCATTCTGATCCTTGTCTTCTTCCCGGCCCTTTTCTATGCTTCTCAATAACGTTCCTTCTTCAAAATAATACTGATTTCCCAAATCATTCTTTAGGCTTTTAAATGACGTTATTCTTCTAATAAAGTAATTCTGATTTTTTTCTTTTTCCTGATCGCTTTCAAGTAAAGTAGCAACACCTCCTAGTACGCGTAATCGATGCTGATTTGCGTAAGCCTTCAGATCAGGATCTTCAGGATCTTCTTGAGCACCAATTGCGATAATCCATTTGTCGTTTTGCTTGTCTTTTGAATCATCGATTAGTTTAATTTTCATCTGAAAAATTTGAATTTCACCATTGACAGCACGTTTTCTTTTATTCCGGACATTTTCATCCAATCCATTTACAGTTGCTTTCCAGAGAGAAGTTGCATGAGGTGATGATGTAGTTTTTGGTATATGTGACACTTCAATTTCCTCAATGTTTCGAAGGAATAAAAAATAGGAAGCGAAATTTGATTTGATGTTTCTAAACAATCTAAGGACCTCGTCAATAGTAAAAACTTTATCGGATATTTCACTTTTTTGTTGCCTAAGTGGTATTCGGAAGAGTACTCCATTAAAAAAAGTTGATCGAACATTGATGCCCTCAATTCCTATAAAAGGAGCTAGCTGATCTCTTTCATGAAATCCACGAATGCCTTCTTTGGGTAAAGTGCAAATCATGCCACGTTCATTTTTCATTGGTAAAAATTTTTCCTGAGGATCCAAAAACGCAATAGAATCACCGCTGATGAAACTGGGAACATCGGTAAAGTGATAGCATGAATTGAATCCCAAATCCGTGCTTTCCAATTTTGGTATTATCTTCTTGTTTTCCACCAACACGTATTTTCATGAGATTTTCGAAATCGGATTTTTCGAATTTTGAATTATTGAAAATCAAAATAGCAGGCCCTTGCCAAGCCTTCATTCCACTACTAAGTAAAGAGTTGGTGGGATGTGATCGACTATCAATGATTATACGAAAACGTGTGGCTCCGGCATCGTCGGCTATTGTTTATCGGATATGAGTATTATAAACGTAAATAAAACCAATGCAAGATTTCAAGAATCAAAAGGATTATATAAAATGATTCTGACCATTTTGAAGGAATTCTTTGAATATGCTTTCAAAGGGATAATCCTAACAAAAAATTAAAATTAACTTAAATACAAAATAATACTATTTTAAATGTATGACATGCCTTGATAATATTACGAATGGACGAAATAAGTGTTTCATTTTGACCATAAGATTGAGCATTTGAAACCAAAGACATGGTTGGAATTTTCAAGCAAAATATTAAATGAAATATTTGGAAAATTTTTTATATTTTTGTCTAGCAATAAAAAAGTAACATTATATGGATCGTTGATTGTAATAATAATAATTACGAAAAAGGTTTAAAAATTAGTAAAATAATCAACAATGCCACTAAGTCAGTAAATTGTTTTTATAAAAAAATGGCTACGTAATTTGCATTATACAAGTATTATTCTTTCCAAGTTTAGGAATGAAATTTGAATCAGCCAATCAAATATTTTTATTTTAAATGTGAATTTCCCACACGATTACAAAATTTATTATTATTAATAATATTAATATTGTGGGGAAAATATCCGGCAACTCTTTTTTCCGAAAGTTAAAATTTTTTAGTCATTTCTACCCAAATCGATTGATTCGTGAATACATCTAATTTACTATTAATATTACTATGACCTTCAAACAATTAAAATAAAACGAAAAGAACTCTGCTTATCGCCACATAGATTTGTCCTGGTGCAAACGTATTTTCAATGAATGGATTATAATAATATAAATTATAAATATTGAAAATCAAATCGTGTGAGTGTGTGAATATTAGAAAATTGTGATACAAAATTCTTCGGGAAATGTGAGAATGAAATAAAAAGTGAAAAATTTATTCTTTACCTGATGTTCACTTTGTCTGGTTTGTTGCAAATAGTAGTAATAGGACAAATGAAATCAAAATAATGAAAATCATGTGAAATTCCTTCATGTTCAAAACACTTCTTAATATGGTGCGCGAAGCCTATAACCACCATTTTTGCACGTGATTTTTGAAAGAATAGAAGTCCGTTTCTGTTGATCC